GGTAGAAAAAAAATTGAACCAAAAAAAGAAACTATAAATGTAAATAATGCTAAATTTGGAAGGTCCATAATTTTGGCATACACATTTCCTGTAAACCCATGTGAGTTTTGCTGCATGACCTCTATTAGAGCTAACTTATTTTTGATCATAGGATCATAGGATGGTTTGGATTAGAAGGGAATTTCAATTCCAATCCCCTGTCATGGCTAGGGAAACCTTCCACTAGTCCACGATGCTCAAAACTCCATTCAGCTGGCCTTGAACTTGTTTTGATAACATCCAGTTATCTAGTTATTTTATTAGAAAAGTCAAGTCACTGTCATCACTTCTAGTTACTTAAAGTATCATTTAATATAGAATAATTTTCTGCTTTGATAAGTCTGTCGTATTTTGTGAGCTGGTCGTTTGCTAAAGTAGATAGTACTGATATTAGATAGGACATTTAATTTGCTTTCCTAAGTTTCTCTGCTGAAGTCTGTATTCAAAGTCCATGAGTGTTAAGATCCCTGCTTAATCTCAAGGTCCTGAATCTCCAGGTAAAATACAACTTTTGTGCTGCAAATTTGAGATTTTTCCCCTTCTTTTAGAACTAGAAGTACTGCATGAAAGAAAAAGAAATTAAGTTGCAAAAGGAAAAGGTCTTTAAATTCGCTGTTTGGTGTTTATCAAAACAGCAATTTTAAATTAAAAGGTATGTTGCATTAGCATTAATTGTGAAGTTTACCTGCTTTTCTGAAATGGAATATGAGAGCTGGATCTGCATTTCATTTAACCTCAAGCAATATGGATTGGATTCATTTCATTGGGGATTTTATAAAAACTTGAAAATAAAAGGTTTCATTCCAAGTAAAAGTTCCATTTTGAAAAGGATAGGCTTTTTTACTTATCCATTAATTAATAACTAAGTTTGATTCCACTGAGCATATTTGTCAGTTCTAGTTTATACTGTAAGATTTAAGCGAGAAGAAATTACAGAATGAGTTAAACTTTATGATTCAAAGAATTCCAGTCCACTGTAAGGAGCTGTAAAGTAAAGGACACCTTTATTGGCCTGGTCAGTGGGAGCATGTGGCATGCAGGGGGTTGATACCCAAAAGATAGGCTGGAAATAAATCCCCCAAGACTGATGTCTATAGAGCAGGTATTTGCTTATTGCAGCGCTGGTGGGTGAGGGGGATATCTCCACCTTGCTCACCCACCTTTGTCAAGTGCTGTGGTATATTTATACACATTATGTAGAAAGTTTATATCAGGTTATATTGGTATAAAAAGCTATGATTCAAGTTACATAACCTAAAACCCTTTTATATTTATATAAGTGTATAAAGTTATAATTCAGGTTATATTGATGTCTTGTTACTCAGGTTGTATAAGCACCTCGTAACATTGACCTAAGTTGTATAGGCAGCATGGTTAACACCACACCTCCACATGCATCTCTGTTGTGCTCATCTTACAGTGGTTATTTATTGCTTTACAAGTTTGGCACCTGCCCTGTTCATTTATCTAAAAGTTGCAATCTTAAGGAGTTGGAGTCAGCCATAACTTGTGGTTTTCTTATCTTACCTTACAAACGTGACACACTATTCTTATCCAATACATTCATCACACCTATTTTCCTAATGCTTACTTGTATTATTGCACACTTTATTGCTGTATCAGTTATACTTCATCTGAAATTGTGCAATAATTATGTTCCTATTCTTTTATTACATTTTTCTGTGCTTTGTGACAGCTCTTCTATTAGTCATAAAAACGACCAGTAGCAGCTAGTAAGCGTTCTTCAGTATTGCTTAGTGCATGCGGGCTAAGCCCTTGTCCTGCAGAAAAAGCAGTTAGCCAAACCCATTAGCTCACATTCCTTTCCCTTATCATCTCAGTCCACTTGTTTTTGTTTTTCTCCAAGAGCAGTTAGCATTAGGCATAGCACCTACCATTTGCTTATCATCTGGGACTAGGCTTCTTGTTTTGCAAAAGCTGCTGGTAACACCTGATTTTTATTAATCTATGCTTTATACTAAGGTGTTTGTGTTGAAGGAGTGCTGTGTTTCATTTAGCAAGTTATAATAGATATGAATTGTTCTTACTGATGTCTCAAATCTTCATACTTACCAAGTTTTTCTTTGTTTCTTGTATGGTATATGTTTTAAGGTAAGAAAAATCCTCACACTGTCACTCATGCTAAATACATCCCTTTATGTCTCCCGCTCATCACAGACGATCCATCATTTGCAGCGTTTCAATCTGGTAATTTGCTCACACAAAATCAGGACATCATTTTAATGTATAAAACATCTACTCATCAATATTAGGAAAACTTAAGTTCTACAGGTGAGCAAGGGGACATAGTGCCCTTGAAATCTACACAGGGTGTTGGAATTAAATTTGGATGAACTAAGATATGTTTTCAGTTGCATGGACAAATGTTGTGAAATGATCTCATGTTTTTATTCTTTGTGTTAGACAGGGCTATGAAGACCTGGAAAGACAACTGAAAGAAGTCTTTAAAGAGAGGAGCAACATACTTCATCAACTGTTAAAGACTTCTAAAGAACTTCAGGGAATTAAAGTAAACCTCCAGGTTAGATTCTGTCTCAGTTTCTATAACATTACTTAATTACCTCAACATTTTCTTTTTGGTGTTTTTTAATTACAAAAAAATATGTTTCTTTTTAAAAATCATTAAATATTTGAATAGTTATTATTTTGTTTATTTTGTTGATCTTCTATTAAACATAAACCTGATCGTTTCATAGAAAATTTCATCCTAATGTGTTTGGGCCTTTACCAACTCAATAAAAATAAAGAAAATATGAAAATAGAACATACAAGAAGGAAGGGAAGGACAAGAAATACAGAGTATTAATGGAGCTGACACATTTGAAGCACAGACAGACGACTCTTCAACTACTTAAAGTTGAAAATAAGGATATTTTATTGCAGTGCTGGACACATGTGGAATCATTTCTAGATACATGTCCAGGACTCCTGCCCTCTATTTTTACAGAAAAGATTTTACATATCCAGGCAGTTTCTAAGGACGCATAATACATAATCATTACGTGCCCACTTCGTATTATAATCAGCTGAATATTCATTACAGCTGAATTGTGTTGGTGGGAGTTTGAAGTCAGGGAGGGGTCGTATGGGAGGAAGAAAGTTGTCTTCCTCATGGTGAGCTCTTAGCCTACAGCCAGTTAGCAGGACCTTTTGACCTGCTGGTCACAGTCCGAGCCTCTCTTAACTGTTGGATTATTCTTGAGGCGAGGTATTTCTATGGTCTCTGCTTCTTCACAATTGCTTCATCTGTCTTTGTCACTTCTAGCTTCTCTTTCTTAATGTATTTGTTACTCTTTAACTGAGGTACGTGGTCTTTGCTAGCTAACTTAGTTTCTTAACTCATTTTAAAATCTTAAGTGAAATTTGTAATCATCTACCATCCCAATTATATCCCCAGCTGGCCCCTTGCCTCACATTTGTACTGGCAGCTACTGAAAAGGATGGCCTTTGCTGTTGCAGGTTGGATCTTTGCTGCTGAATTCCATACACTCAACTTAATTTAGTTGCTCAGTTTACCTTTCTGACATGCCATCTACACAGTCTGACTGGATTTACTGCAGGGCATTGATTTACAAATTGGCTGACAATCTGTGCTAGATGAGCCTGAAGTGAGAGCTGAGACTCGTCTTCATTTAACTGCTATGCCATGGTTAGGCTGAAAGGGCAATAAAATAACTCTGAACTCAATCAGCTCCTCAGAGGAAAAACTAAATTGAAAGTGCTTCCCTGGATTTGAGATATTCAGCTGAGGGAGCACCTGTCTTTTCCCAGTAGAGTCTGTTGGTCTGGTGAAAATATTTAGACTCATTATCAGTTAAAATTGGTCTCTGTATTTCATGCCATTTTAAAGCAAATTATTTTTCTGACAATACGTCTTTGTAAGCTAGCTGGGAAAAATAAAAGGAGAAGAAGCACTCTTATCTGTTCCCAGGAGAATACCAGTGGTGTGTATCAGTACTGGGCTATATTATAGTATTGTGTTATATTTTCTTATGTTCCAGACTTCCCTGGTTTTAATTAATCAACCTTTTGATCTTTGGGGTTTTTGGTTTGGGAGTTGGGTTTAATTTGGGGATTTTTTGAGTGCTTTATCACCATTACTGCAGACTTTTTTTTTAATAGAAATATGCTCTCCTTGTAGCAAATTTATTTTAGAATGTAGCACAGTTGAAGGAAATATTCAGCAAAATTACACTGTGAAATATTTTAAACTCAACACTACAGAGATCTTGATATAGGCAAAGAGCTGTAGTATTCTGTATACATACATTTACTTGGTCATAAAATTCTAATGCTTTCAGTCATTCATCTGTTTCTAAATCTGCTTGTATTTATCTCGCATTTAATGTTTCAGAAATACAGAGCTGTATACAGTTAACTGTGTTTGAGCTACAGTAAAGAAAAATCAGACTATTCTTCCAATTTTCTTAAGTGGTAATGTCTGCAATTCACCAGGACCATTTTAGGAACAAGGGCTAAATACTTTTACAGATTAATAATAAAAATGATCTCTTAATAGAGTTTTTTTGTTGTTGTTGTTGTTGCTATCAGTCTTTAAAAAATGATGAAGCATCAACCAAAAATGATGTACAGAAACTTCTGGAAATGGGCCAAAACCAAAGGTAAGACCCTCACTTCCTTCTTTTTCTTTCCATTTCCTGACTAAAAGCTGTCAGACTAGCAAATTTCACCTTTCCTTTTACTATAAACACTGCTGTATTCCAGAATCTGCTAATTGTAACAGTAAAATAAAGGCAGGAAATACTCTTTCTGAAACAAATGATGATTTTACTGATGTTTGACATATGATAGGAAAATATATTAAAATGGTATGGTAAGGTATCTGCTAAAGAAAGACATTGAATTTTAAAGGAAAATTTAGTCATGAAATATTCCTTAAAAAATAAATTCAGGATTTTTAGAAAACTAAATTACTGAAGTGTCTAAATCTCTAAGTTTGGATATGATGACATTTATTCAAAGCTCTTAATTAAATGTTTATATGTGTAGACACTCAAAATCACTAGTCCATGTGCAAACAGGAATACTTCCACTGGGTATTAGTGATGAATGGAGTTAGAAAGAGAAAGGAGTATTTATTTCAAATTATTCATTGAGCACTTAAAAAGTTATGTCCCATGGCTGGGAATGCAAGTTCCCAGCCCAGTCCTTAGTCTCAATTTCCCTAGTGCTTCATTGTGAGTAAGTCTCATCATTCTGTGTCTCTTCATTTTTAAAATTCAGTCCAAAAAATAGCAACATCAATACAATTTTAGTAACAAGAAAACATAACTAATGTAGTGACCACTTTTGCTGGAAAAATAGTACATAATGAGTGCATCTATACTTCGTATTTCTCCCTAGGAAAAATGTTTAGTAAGAAAAATTATTAAATTCATACTTCCTTCATTGTTGGAAATGCAATAATTAAATTCCATGGCCATCTTACGTCTACATTCAGTGTAGATACACACATGAAAGTATAAATAAAATTGCATTGCTATATAGAAACCTTGTGAGAAAATTATCTTCATATCTTAAATACCCAATATATAAGGTCTGCAATACAATACCAGTGGAATTTCTTATTTTTACTGTGATCCATAACAATCTTTCAGGTATTCCAGACAAATAAATTCTAGAGGAACGTCTTTAGCTACTGTCCTATTTAAATACTTACGTGGCTTGAATATGACTGAAGCTGTAACATCTCAGCATCATAGCTGTCCTTCACACAGACAAAATCCTTCATCATACATGAATGCAGTTTTTTGGTGGTTTGATTGTTGTGCAGTTTTCCTTTATGAAATTGAGACACGAATTGATGAGAAGTATTAATGGACTCTTTAGTAAATAGATCTTAGTTGCATATGGGAAAATTGAGTCTGCTGAAAGAAAATTTTATTACATATTTCAAATATTCTTCCTAATCTCCTCTGTAAATCACCATTCGCTGTCTCTCAAGTTCCACCCTAAAATATATCTTGATTTTGCTTCTAGGGCATCCAGACATTGAGTGTACTGCACAAGAGCAGTTCCCAGAAATAAAAAGTGGATCAGTGCAATCTGCTGCTGAGCAGCCTACTCCATCATTCAGAAAATGAAAGGTTTTTACAGTATACTACAAGGAAATGCTTTGGGGCTATACTGTTGCCAGCAGTTTACAGACTTACTAGATTTCATTTCCAGAGAGGTGTAAAAGTTCAATGTATGAAAGAGGAATTTAAAATGTGCCAGGCAATCTTCCTCATAGAATTTCACTGGGGAAGGGTCACAGTTTATTTGCCAGGGTCCTCAGGCTACCTTATATCTGCAGTAAATAAATAAAAATGAACATAGTATTATGCTTAAATCTATTGCATTGAAGCCAAAATTCAAAATACATCCCAATATTAATGTTGTAATCTTTCTTTGAACAAACATGAGCTGCAGACTTGGTCTGAGCACAACTTTGATTATACTCTACAGTACAGTAAAGTTTAGAGTACTAGAATGTCAGCTTTTGTAAGTAAATGTTCTGTTGACTTCAAAATAGATTTTTTTTTTAATTCCTTTTGTGCAAATTGTTCAATAATTCCCAAGTTCCAAGTAAAACTTAGTCACTTACTATGATGCCCCCAGTTTTATTCTATCTGTGTATCATCAACACTGTGCAATGATGGCATCTTTTAGTGCTGATGGTATATTGTTTTCATGCTGCTCAGTCACTTTTTAAATTAAATCTGTTCTATACTAGTACTGCCAAAACTGCTGAAAGTAGTAGGGGTTATCAGCTAAAAAAAATTATCCAACAGGTAGCAAGTTCTTTTAAAATTATGTGGTTTCCATTCAGTTTAGTTTTCACAGGACTAAATTATTGTATGTTACTGTCTATAAATCCAGTTGTCTTGGTCTTCACTGAGAGTTTATCCATGCAAGCAGCAATCCTTCAAAAGCCCTGCAGCTGTTATGAAATCTGTCATTTTACTACTTTGCTACATCTCCGAATTGTTTCATGTGCTGTGGGTAGAAAATTACCACAATTTGGAGAAAATCTCTGGCTGAATCAGTAATGCAGAGGGTTTTCACTTGATTCAAATTAACCAAATCCAAGCAATTATCCTGCTCTTTTTTATTTTTATACCAGAATCTTCTACTGAATTTTTTGTTGCTTGTCTCTAGAAGGTACCATATGAGGTTGAATTTTATCAGAGCATGATTTATTTGTTTATTTTAAAGCAGATATAAACTAGTTCTTATTGATAATAGTATGTCTCGATGACAGTGGATTTTCACTTGCCTACTTTTCTCACTTTTTTGGTGTGAATCATTTTTGTTAGAAATTATGCACTACCAGATGTTTTGCACAGCAGGCCATTCAGCAGACATAAACGGTGGCCACTTTGCATCAGAGATGATTTTTATTTTGCATTGGCACTATACTTCATGGAGTCATTATGACTTAATTTGGGAGACTCACAGACAAAGTACATCTGTTTCCTACTCTGAATAATTAAAGGTCCATTTTTTAATCTGAATAAGTATTTCCTAGTGGACACTTGTGTTGAAGTTTGTATTCTGTGTTTTCAATAACCTAGGGAAATGAAATCTCTCCAGGAAGCCTTTCAAAAGCAGCTTAATGAGGCAGCTGAGAAGGCAGAGAAGCAGCAGGCTACCGTGAGTGATTCTCTTTCTTTCCTTATTTTTGTTTTTCTTCTGTTTTTTCTTAATCTTGCCTTGAGAATTTATTAGCTTAAAAAACTTTGTAAAAAAAGAATGGATTTCATATATGTGTTAGTACTCTGCAAACTTCAGAAGAAAGGATCTGGAAGAAGTTTTAATGTTCTAAAATATTAAGATATCTTCCCTTATTTCTGTGGAATTTATGGATGTTTATACACTTCTGGAGACTTTAGACAGGAAATTTAGGCCTAAGTCTTCTCCCTGGGGAGATGATCTTTATGGACCCTCATGTCTCATCTATACTAATGTAGACTGTCATACATCTATTGACTTTTTAGAAATTACTATGGATTTTCAGCGACAAAATAGAGAGTAGAGTATCTGATTTTGACCATAGTGGAACTAATTATCATTCTAGAAGGTATTATTAAGTCCTATTAAGATTTCATGCTTTATTGAAATTCTGTTTCTGGACAAACTGCACAATTGTTTTGATTTTCATGTAGCAATGTGATGTTTTGTAGCAAAAATAGACACATTTTGCTACTGTAGGAAAAAAAGGTAGAATCATGTTTACTAAGATAAAAAAAGGAAATTTTTCATATGCTGGTTATTAATATTCCTGTAACATGGACACAACTGAGCATAAGTTGACTAGATAATCTCCAGAGGTTCCTTCAAACCTTAAGTGTTTTATGATTTGAACTCTGGATTTGAAAACAACCTGCTAGAAGTGTTTATAGATCTATTTTCTATTTCATATTGGATAACTACAGATTTCTTTACTAACATTTTGCTGTCTTCCAAAGCAAGGGTTTGTCCAAGACAGACAGTGTAATTATTAAATTCAACAAATATTTACAGTGCCTTATTTCATATAACTGTGATTTATATGTGGCTTTATTCCCTTGGTGAACAAAATGTGAGAGTGTATGTTTTCCTACCTTCTAATTACAAACTGCTTGGATTGTGGACCAAACTATTCCTATTGTAGGTTTCTTTCAGTTAATCTCATTTTTGAAAACAAATTTTTCCATTTGTTGCTCAAAAATCTGAAGAGTAAAGATACTTCCTGTTCTTGTGTACCATACAACATAAAATTAGTGTATTTTTGGACTTCTATTTTTGTCTAGAGAAAAAAAAAAGAACTTTTATCCTCTTCAAGAGTGAAAAGAAGTAATCTGAAAGCAGTATTGAGTTTGAAAAGGACAGCATATTTTGATGGTCTTTTTAGCCAGGACAGTGTATCTCCAGAAAAAAATGAAACAAACTGCATTTGTTTTAAGATCCTTTTGTACTGAGGCAGTCTATAAATTGTCTATATCAAATACTAGAGTCCTAGACTGTTAAGGGGTTGGAATGGACCTTGAAGATCTTCTAGTCCCACCCCACCATGCCCGGGACAGGGGCACCTCCACTAGGGTTGCTCAAGGCCTTTTTGACCTGGCTTTAAACTCTGCCAGGGTTGGGCATCCACAGCCTCCCCAGACAAGCTGTTCCAGTGCCTCACCTGGAATAGACCCTTGTACCCTTTACTCTTTGCCCTGGCACTGCAGTTCTTGAAGGGTCTCTCTCTGGCTTCCCTGCAGGTCCCTTCCCATGCTGGAAGCTTGCTCTGAGATCTCCATGTAACCTTTTCTCCAGGCTGAACAGCTCCAGCTCTTTCAGCCTGTCTTCAGAGGGGATGTGCTCCAGTGCTCTTACCAGCTTTGCTGTCCTCCTCTGAACTGGCCCTGACAGTTCCGTGTCATTCTTACACTGGGGACACCAGAACTGTGCACAGTACTCCAGGTGGGGATTCACAAGAGCAGAGCAGGGGGAAAAAATCACTTCCTTCAAAATAGCTCTGAAATAAGGAAAAAAATCAGTATCTAGTAGTCTCTGATACGTAGTCAGAACATACTAGTTGAAAGTTGACAATTTTCAGGTATATTGAATGCATTCCTCTTGACTTTATCAGCACAATGAATTCTAGTCCTACAAATGGAGGGTGGAAAACATTTAATTATTGAATCTTTTTATTAGATTTTGATCCTCAAGACTAATTCAGGTGTGGATTGCATAAATCTCAAATACAATGAATGGATTTGTTGGTGTTACTGCTTTTCTTGTTTGAGCAACAGTGCCTTGTGTACATTCAGTCCCAGTCTAGCACTTTGAAAAGCACAAGATTTGTTCTACATGAAACAATATCCGCCATTAACTGGTAGCAAAATACCACCTGGTGTAGAAACCAGGGAAAGCTCCTGTGGGAGCTTGGAGGGTTGCCAGGTGCTTAAAGAATCTGAATTCTTGAGCTGTATTCCAATACTCGACACGAATAGTCTATTAAACTTACTAATAATTCTAAGGAAATCAGAACTGTGTCCTTGGTTTGTGATTTACTTCTTTATTCCTTGGAACACAATGTACATAGTGAAGCTCAGCAGTACAGCGAGGCTGAATGAATATTCAAACAGTACCTCAGGATCCTCAGATGAAAATTGCAATAGAAATGGAGATAGATTTTATTACTGACACACAAGGTTATTTTATACCTGGGTTCTCTACGTGTTCCACGTTTTTCTGAAAACAATGTGAAATCTATGAAAGAAGGTCTAAGTACTTTAATGCAATACTAGTGAGAGCTTGAATTTAATTCTAACTTAATTAATTGCAAAACTTGTTTCTAGTCCAATTTAAGCACATTTTATATTATAGGACTTGATGAAAGAAATCTTGATTTTCATCAGAGTAAATGAAAGTAGAATTACATTTCACAAAGACTAATGAAGCACTGGTGGGAGGGAGAAGAGTGGAAATACATCTCTCTGCATTTGCACAGGAGACGTAATACAATGCCTACTGCATGTATGTAATTCAACATGTAACACCTGCCTGAAGGTGTTCTTTATTAGGCCAATGTAAAAGTGCAAGTAAGAATTCACAAGAATTAAGTAAAATTAAATAAAAACTAACTGGGAAATTACTCAAGGACTCTGACCAAAACAAGAAAAAGGGAGTCACATCAGCTATACATTAGACTTTACATTCATGCCTTCTGGTGCAATGTGTGGCAAGGCTTTTTACTAGTGTTGCATGAATGGTTCATCAGAAGCAGAGGTATCAATGTTGTTATGCTTGCATAACCATTTTTCTCACCCTTTAAGGCTAGACAAATCAAGAACTGCAAGCAGCAAAAAGGTTGCTGTTCTGAGCAGCTGCTCAAGGGATGGTGGGGACCGGCAGAGGTACAGGCAGAGGGCAGCTGGTGCAGCTGCTGCTGGGTAGGAAACGACCTCCTGAGGATGGAAGCAGCAGCTGAGGCATGTGGAACATAAAAGGACATGGAAAGACATTCCTGTCCTCCAGAGCAGTGATCACACTGAGGGATCTTAACAGCAGTGAGCGCTGTCTTTCTGGGTTGTTCCTGCATCTCTAGCACTAACAAAGAGCAGCAGCAGTTTGTCTTGGGACAGGCCTTTCCTAGAAAACTTATGGCAGATCTCAGATACATTTATGCCTATTGTTTCAACAGCTGTGTCTGGGATAATAAAATGTGCAGAGAAACACTAGAAAAACTTTAAGGATGGTTTAAATCTTAGACTTGTTCTACATTACAAACTTCAAGGTCACATACAGTCTTCCAGAAAGACTTTGGTTATGAAGGAGCTTCTCTACAGATGGTCTCACACTAGAGCAGTAGATTATTTTTATATCTAAAAACATTTCAGAAGGACCATACTGGGTTTAGGTGTACAATATGCATATAAAATATGTAAGACATCATTCCAAATAACCCAATGTCCTCTTTAACAATCATTGAAGGTTAAAAAAGTTCTTTTTTCTGTATTTAGCATCAAATACCTAAGCAATTCGTATTAAGTTTTCATGCAGTGAAAAATATTTTAAAAACATTAATAAAGTCAAACTATTTTCTCTAAATGTGAAGTCTGGAGCCACTTCTTCCAGAAGCAGAGTTGGAGATCATAGACTGATTTTCACTTTTGTTAACTAAAAGGCACAGAGCAAGTGGCACATGTAACTTGAAAGTGTCTTGTTTTGTTTGTTTGAGGTTTTTCAATGAATTTGAATAAATAGAATAAGTATTGATTCTGTATGTCTTCATTAGGTTAAAAGGCTCTTAGAGCTTTTGGAAGACTGACTCTTTGCTTGGCTGTACTTCATGCTAATGTTTGCATGTTAAGAAGTAGCTACATTTTTAGCAAGTTTGAAAACTTATTTCCCATTAACTGCAGTTAAAGTTTATATAAAGAGCTGGCTGGCTCTGGATGAGGGAGAAAAAGAAATATGGAAACACTCAAAAATAGTTTGGCTAAATAGAGTAAGTTTAATCTACATTTTCTATTTTATTCTGTTGGTATTTTATATCATGCTAGCAATTTTAAAGAAGATACGCTAATGGATTATTTGGCAGTGCAGTTACAGTACTGTCTGTCAAAATAAAGGAGAAAATTTGTCTGTGTAATTTCCTTTTTTTCCTCAGTGTTCATTATGAGAAATGAGAATTAAGTAACACTTTATATATTACTTATTTAAAGGAACCATAAACAATATGGGTATTTTTAAATCAGTAGGGTTTTTCTAGTAATAAAAGATTATGCAAATAAAAGGTTTTCTTTTATTTTATACAAATAAAAGGTTTTCTAGTAATAAAATGTTATAATAAAGGGTTATGTAATAAAAGGTTAATAGAATATGGGGAATTTGATTCAGTATTATCCCCATAATTGAAAGATTTTAATAAAAAGTTCTGAAGTTCTTTTCCCTTAAAAAAATAATTTGTTTTTTTCTAGTAAAAGCTTTTATGACTATTCATAAAGTCCTAAATGTTCCTTTGATGGAAGTTTCATTTACTAATCAAATTATAACTTGCAGCTTAAAAGTTACATTCTTCTTAGAAAGACTAATAGGTGAAATCTATTTAGCTTTGCTTTTAAAAGTATTTAGCGCTCTGTAGAACACTTTTTGCCAAAGGAAAGAATATTTTATGTGTTTTACATAATAGCCTAGACAGTTTCCTCTGAAGTCAATCTTTACACTATATTTTGAAGTCAATTTTTACATTGTATCTTGAAAAGTAGAC